CATGTGTGGTATGATCCCAGTTATGTTCTTTAAAGGACATACATGTATATTATACATACACACATACATGTGTGAACATTTATGTCATATACACATACATATGTAAGTACATGTGTATTCTATATACACACATATTTGTGTATGTACATCATAAAGTTATAGGAACAGAACAGGAAGGAAGCATCTGCTTTCCTGGAAAGGATGTAGATGGGGAATGAAGGGCAACTTCCAAATTTCTCTCTGTAAATTTATATAAACATCTGAATCTTTCATAGTGAGAAAGGACTCATTATTTACTTCTATATAAAAAAAAAGAAAACAGGGGCTGGCCCCGTGGCCGAGTGGTTAAGTTCGCGCTCTCCGCTGCAGGCGGCCCAGTGTTTCGTTGGTTCGAATCCTGGGCGCGGACATGGCACTGCTCATCAAACCACGCTGAGGCAGCGTCCCACATGCCACAACTAGAACGACCCACAACGAAGAATATACAGCTATGTACCGGGGGCTTTGGGGAGAAAAAGGAAAAAAATAATAATAATAAAAATCTTTAAAAAAAAAAAAAAGAAAACAAATGGACATTTTAGCAACTACAGTCACCTGGCAAAAGCGTATTTGTGTTTTCATAAACCCTTAAGCTTTGTCAGTGTGCAAGATATTTTCTCTTTTAGGATTTTGTTTGTTAAATCCTTTCAACCCTCCCCTTCCCCAACCTTTAAGCAATTTCTGCAATTTAAGTGTATTCCTGCAATGGATAATTAATAATAACTTTGCATAAGAGTCTTGGTTTTGTTCTGTGACATTTGACAACGTAGGAACAACAACTTCCACAAAGAATAACAAAAATCAGCCAGTTTAGGTCCCCTGTTCAATAATCCCACAAAGGAAATGTGGCATTTGGGAACGGCATATTGATGACTCCGGCGGCCCCCAGCCCAGCCAAGAGCAAGTGGGGACTCACGGACCTACGTTGGGAGACTTTAGCGTGAGAGCACTGGAAAGTCGCCAGAGGCTCTAAAGCAACCTGCCTGTCTTCTGGGAAGCGCCCCAAACCGAGGGAGGAGGTAGAAGGCAGGACGGCTTTCCCAGAAGGAACTCCGTGTCCCGGAATCCACCACCCTGGGCACTCACAGAATCCGTACCACGGGCATCCAGGACGCTGGGGAAGGTTAACCTGACAACTTGGCCTCCCAGCCAGGGCAAATGCACCTAGTCCCAGGGCTCCCGTCAGCGCCGAGGGCTGGGGCTAGAGCTAGACTCCGTGTGAGACTGGAAGGTTGCGGGACACAAAGAAGCTTGTACCACTTTGCATTCACCAAAAAGAGGAAAATGTGACATTTTCTAGCAACATAAACAACTGATCCCAGATCTGTCTAGTGTTGCACAAGTGATAACTCGAATTGCTTAAAAGGCAGCTGAAGTGATCAGGCAGCAGCCCGGGCCGCGGTCTCATTATTTTGATGGCGCAAACGGCCTTTACCAGCGCCCTGTCACTGTCGGGTTTGTCTCTGGAGCATCAGATGACGATGGCTATTAGTTTGCATTTTTAAAAACATGTCTGGCTATCTGACAAGGTTTATATACAAATTAAAATAACAACCAGAATTCAGGCTAGTGGCTTGTCCCGCAATTGTCCAGGGCGATATTATAACCTATGACATTTCCCCCATTACTTCCTAAAGCTATGGAAAAAAATGTCTTATAATAAGTCCTTTTGCTTTTAAGGTATCACATCCTTAAACAAACAAATAGAATGTGCCATTTCAGATACATTTCCACAATACTTAGGTTTTTACCTAAGGGATAAAGATTTATGTATGAAAATATCTCTCTCGACAATTCTAACACATCATGCTTATTACCCCCTAAATTTGGCTTTTGTTTGGTTTGCTAATTATATTTCCTCCTAATCTGCAATTATCAATGTGCCCATCCTGTTTTACTTTATCCTATTATCTATGTAAGCATCATCTATTTAAGATTATTATCTCATATAGAGCCACCATCGGCAATATTTTTACATTGCATGCCAGAGGGAGAATGTTTGAGGAAGGAAGAGGGAGAGGACAGAGGCAGTAGAAAGGGCCGTGGTTACAGTGGTTGTAAGAGATGACTACATAGACATGACCTCCCTTTTCTCCTGCTGGTCCAGGAGAAGTGGTGCCAGACCACACACAGAAGTGAAGACCTAGGAAGACATGTGGCGGATCGTCGAGCTTGTGGGGACAAAGCAGCATCATGAACCAGTGTGCAAGGCAGGACATCCTCAGTGCCCCCTTGGGTACAGCTGCTGCCAGCTGTCCATGAGGCCAGGGCGCTGTCTCTCTCTTCTATTTGTGCAGTGTTCGATGGCATGTCATGCACCAGAGGTTTGTTAAAATATATATGATGATAGTAAACACAGATTAAACTAAAGTGCCGAGAAGCCAAGCCTATTAACTCACCTTGAGTTCCTTGCCCTGTTGGAGAAGCGAGGCAGAACAAATGGGCCTACAAGCTTCAAGCCAAAAGCCCCCAGTGGGAAGTCGCTGGATCAGCGTGAGTGGGGGAATTAACTACACACTCCCGTTAATGTTCATCAGAATTGAACACTGCTAATTTACAGCACTTCAGGGCCCCTTAGAGTCTTTCCAATTACGCTAGTGGGAAGGTGACTGGCCCATCCATGGTCCCCATGGCGAGACTGCGGAAGCAGAACTTAGCAGCAGGGTCCTGGGGTTCCCGCACACCCCTCCTATGAAGCCACATTGTTTACTCCATTCTCCCAGTCTAGGACCCTGCACTTAGCATCCTCCGACGGAGATGCAGAGTGGTCACACAGCCAACTCTGGGAGTGGAGTGTGTGTGGCCTTATATTTCTAGTTAAAAAGCAATAAATCTTAAGTCAGGTAATGAATTCCATTTTGAGTAATCTCATTATGGACATCTATTCAAAGAGTCCATATAGCACAAGCAGAATGACTGGAAAACCTAGTATAATGTGCTGGCTTTTTTCCCTGTGCCAAATTAACAGTGAAGGGCTTTAAAAGGATGCTTCATTTAGGCTCTCTTATTATCAGAAATATTATAGGAGCTGGAATCAGGGCCTAAGTGCAGTGGCACTGCTGAGGCATCTCCTGCTGTTAGATCGATGGCTGGCCGGAGTCCACCGCTGCAGGAGCTCCAGGCAAGGCAGCTTCCACCCGAGGCCCCAGCGCATTGCTCTCTGCTGGAGGCTAGAAGAAGGAGGAATGGATGGGGAAGAAAGACTGGGAAGTTGAAGTGGCAAATGAATTTTCTGTAATTGTCTTGCAGGATCAAATAAGCTGTCTCATGCAGAACCTGTTTTATTTAATCCATCTTACATACAATTATCAAATTATTCTTTCTGGAACCCTAATGAGTTATGTCACCACTCTACAACCTTCAGCTGCTCCCTGTTACTATCTTAAAAGGTTTAGTTTTCTCATTCTGAAATTCAAAGTGCCTCTCAAACTTTACACACTATCCCCTGAGGATCTCGTGCAACTACAGTTCTGATTCATTCACCAGCCACAGGGGAGGCCTGAGAGTCGGCGTTTGAAATAAGCTTCCAGGAGATGCCCACGCAGCTAGTCTATGGACCACACTTGGAGAAGCAAGGCTCTAAAATGTTGGTTCTCAAACTTTGACTTGCACTAGAATCACCAAAAGGGTTTGTTAAAACAGATTCTGGGCCCCACTCCCAGAGTTTCTGACTCAGCAGGTCTGGGGTGGGGCCTGAGACTGTGCATTTCTCACAAGGTCCCAGGTGAAGCTGATGCTGGTAGTCCGGGGCCCACCCTCTGAGAAGCCCTGCTCTAGACAAATGGTTTTCAGACCTGACTGCACATACACATCATCTAAGGAAAAATAGGGAGATTTTCAAACATACCTATTCCCAGCTCTGTCCCCAGACTGATGACATCAGAATCTCTGGGAATGGGGCCCCAGCATCAAAATCTTCCTCAACTCAAGTGATTTTTCATATGAATCGAGAATCACTGCTCTAAAACATGGTTTCCAGCATAAAGTCCCATACAGTGCCCAGATATGAAAAGAGGACTCTGTGCTCACCCCCAAATTTGGTGTTTGTGCTATTATATTTCAGAACTTTGGTTTAAACTGGTTTTTCTCCCTGAAAGAACCTTCTATATCCACTGTCAAAACTCCATCAGTGTGTGATGGTTTATCTCAAACACCGTCTCTTTCCCGAAGCCTTCCGCTAGGCCCTGGCCAGCCGGCTGACAGCGATCTTTCCTGGAGCTTCGAGGACGTTGCTAATTCCAGCCACAAGTGAGCCTCACGGACTCGCCTCCTCCCTCCTGCGCGCCCCGCAGCCTCCGTGTAAACCCGCGCGGGCGCTGGGGTTAACTGTGAGCCGCTGGCCCTCCCCCCAAGCCTGCAAACGCTGTGCGGGAGGGAGCCGTGTCTAGTTGACCCTGCTCGTCCCCCCCAAAGCTTTGGGGGCACTGTCCTCCCCTCGAAGTCCCTCACTAGTCTCTATCGAGTTGTTGTGCGTTTGTGTCTCTGCAGTTCCTGACACAGCTGCTCTCTCACAATACAGTTACTTGTGTACTTGTCTTAACCTTCCCTCCTAGTGTAACCTTGAGGGCAGGGACTGTGCCACACACAGCTTTATATCCACCCCCATACACACACACACAAACACACATGTAGATGCACACACACACATGTAAATGCACACACACTCGCACATGCACATGTAAATGTACACACATACGTGCATATGTAAATATACACATATGCACAGTCTACATATGCACACATACATGTGAATATACACATACGCATGTGTGCGCGCACATACACACATACATGCATACACATGTACACACTTGTGCACACGCACTCCTCTTTAGGTTCTTGCTCCTTAAAAAGTGGTCCGTGGACTGGCAGCACTGGCATCACCTGCCGCTCCCTGGAAATGCAGACCCCCAGGCCCCGCCCAGCCCTGCGGAGTCAGAATCTGCGGTTTAACGAGATCCGCAGGTGACGTGTGGACATTAAAGTTTGAGAAGCACTGCTTTAGGAGGTAAAAAGTAAAACAGCTAAGAGAATGGGTTCCGGACTGAACTCCTAGGCTCGGGGTCTTGAGTGAGTTACGCAACCCTCCACACCACAGAGTCCCCAGCTGTCAGATGAGAACAGGCTTCACCTCGTAGAGACGTGGGGGCATACATAACGTAAGCTAAATAACTAAACAACGTCCTGTGAGGGTAACGCGCGGAACATTACAATTCCTCAATGATACAGGATGAACCATCATTACTCAGTTAAAACCGGTTAATTTTAATTGAATTTGAACTGCCACCCAGAACAGACAAGAACATGAAACAATTCTGCGTGGGTTTCAGACACAAGAAATGTAGAAGGAAATAAATAAAAATGTTAAAACCCCTTCGGCAAGTGTTAAGCTGCCTGTCCAACCATGGCTGTGCCGAACAGGGATCAACCCGGCGGCTGGAGCCTCTGAAACGGCCACCCCGCCTTTCCGCCGCGTCCCCAGGTTTGCCCTCGCGCGGTTCTTCCAGCTCCAGCTAAGCAACTTCCTGCGGCGGTTGGGATGCTCAGACCCGGACGCCTGTCGCCTCCGGATACCTCCGCGGCCCCAAAACGCAGCCGGCTCGGCTGAAACGTGTGCGCACACTGCCCCCTAGGGGACAGGCTCTGTCATGACCCTCACACCCCAGGAAAGGCCAAAGCGTGGGTGTGTGGAGTTGGCTCAGAGGCAAAGGACTGCATGCTTGGCTGTGACGCTCTGCAGCTTTGGAATTCCTACGGGTCCACTCTGAGCGCTAAGGAATAGCAAGCTGCGTCAGTGTGGGGCCTCACTAGAATTTGCGAGACAATTGGATGTGCATGACCTGGCTTTGATTCCCTCAAATGTTAGGAAGGAAGGCACTGACGGTGATGAGAGTCTGGAATGACAGCCCACATTGGGAGTGAAATGTCAGCTACACTGTGTTTACGGCTATGAACATTTTTACCCAAGACTTAAGATGTTGGGAGAACGATAGGGTAAAGTGAGCAAGCGATGAAACGCATTCGATGAGTAATTCTTGAGAGCCTACCATCCACCAGGCCATGTTCCAGGAGCTTCTGAACAAGAGACATGAGGATCCTTGCTCTCAGGGAGCCGAAATTCTAATCAACATTGCCGCATCCTCTCGGTCTCCCCGGCTTCCGTGAGCTTCCCTCAGCTCCAGAGGCGCCGCTGACTTGCCTTGGAATGCAAGATGAGGGCGGTGTGCCCGGTCCCTCCAGAGGCAGCTCGCAGACCCCCTGTCTCTTCCTTATGGGCTAACAGGGTGTTGTCTTCTGTCTTTCCTTTTGCCTTCTTCTTGTCCATTGCGGGGTTTTGGGGTGTGTGCGTGTATAAGATTTGGGGGGGGGGGGATGCTACCACACGTGATGGTATCTGATCCTGGTCTTGGACTTGGAGTTGGAGAGAGCAGAACTATGAGGCTCCTTAAGGGATAGAAGGTTTTACCAGCTCACTGCCGTGAGACGCTCGGCAGAATCAAACCGACTTCTGGTGACATAAGGCCGCAAAAGTCACCAGGGGCTTCAGTTCAAAGGCTTCATTTGAACCCACAGTGTATTTTTGCCCCTTAAACTATTGTCACTGTGCCCATTCTGTGGCCTACCTCCTGATAGTTCATAATCCCTTCCCCGTCACCACTTTGGAGACGTGCTAGCCGAGCCCCCTTTGCTGGTGGTGTGCCGTGGAGGTGGCTGGGGGGCCGGGCTCGCAGTGACCACTGCCCCCTTCCCTGGGGCGCATCCTGAGATTGCGCTCAAGCAGACGAGAGGTCCAAGGGGACTGACTGCCAGCCCACAGGGCCTCACGTCTGCCCACGCCTGATGCTACTGCAGCTTCCTTCTCCTTCCTCCAGGGCCCTCTGGCTCCGGGACTGAGGAATCGCAGAGAAAGCACATCTTCTACCTCAGTGCTCAGTTCGATTTCAGTTACTGAGCTTGCCCACCCTTCCTGTCAACCAACCACCCCAGATCCGTTAATGGCACACTGCGTGTCCTGCGGTGTCCCTGCCTCGCCTGTCCTTTTCTCAGCAGGATCTCCAGCACAGGAAGGTGCCCACACACAGTAAGGCCCTCGGTAAGGAAATCTGACAGGTACGTTGTTGGGGCACCACTGTTCATTTCTTATTTTAAATCATCTTCATACCAACACCCATTTCACAGTGGAGAAGCATGAGGCTTACAGAGCCTCAGTGAGTTTCTCAACATCATGCAGCTATACTAGTGAACACTGAATTTAATCCTTTCAAAGCCTTTGTCCAAGGTCCCTATTTGAGACCCCCTTGCCTCCTTGTTTGGGAAGTTCAGTTATTAAGGAATCTTCCGGTAACGTAGGCGTTAATGGCTGAATCAAGAATTCTTATTTCTCCCATCCTTCCCCCTGGGGCTGGGCTTCAGGCATTTCTTCCCAGCTCTGCTTCTAGGCCACTCCAGCCCATCAGGAGCCCCCTTGCCTCCTCGAAGGTGAATGTGTGTATAAGGCACTTTCAGCCGCGGCTTCTTGGCACAGACAGAACATCAGCTCCGCCGCAGACGCCGCCTGAGGGAACAGCGCTGCTACCAAACCCTCCCCGTGCTTGTCAATGGTTTCCTAATGGACGGCTTCCGCGAGACTCTGTCCTCCAGGTCAGCCGCTGCACGTCCACTCGAGGCTGCTGGAGGCCACGCTCCTGCGCCTTCTTCCCTGCTCCGGAAACGGACACTGGGACTGCGTGAGCCTGGAGGAAGTCGGCCAGACAGGAAGTAAACGCACTTGGGTGCGTGTGCCTGGGGACAGCTTAGGAAGTCCATTTGTCCTCTGGGGAGACGCTCGTGGCCAGCGAGTCTTCGCCCCCTCACTGGTGGGGAAGGCAGGTGGGGATTGATTTCAAGATGCACTTTAAGCTAAGTGGACAGGTATGGCATGGCTCTGCGAGGCCACTTTGACAAGGCCTAGAGGTGATATAAGACGAGCTTGGTCAGGATTTCCTGGGGCAGGGGCAGAGTCGATGAACCTTATTTTTAGACAGTATTGATATTTTTAGTGAAAGTCCAACAGCATCTCCATTTTGGGGGCTGAGGGGAGGAGGAAAGGGTGATTTCCTGAAGTGAGTCATTTCCTCTGCTGGTGAAGAGATTTAGCTGTGCTCCTCTGTCACAGGAAGTGCCTGCGATGGGAAACGCTGCTGACATAATGGGAGTTTACACTGCTGGTGTGTCAGAGAACACGGATTCCTTCCTGGACCCGCAGCCAGGTGAGTGGGGGATGTTTCCTGTTTTCAGCTCTAGGAGGACCTTTCAACGGCTCTGGAGAATAAATCACAAGGACTGCTGGGGAGAGCAGCCAGGGCCACACACACTGGGAAGTTATTTGGTGGCAAGAATTGTGGCCGTACCCTGGCAGTTCTGGGAACTGCTGAGTCATCATGCCCTCCATGAGACGTACATGGGAGCCAAGTGGGTTTGGTTCCCATGTCATAAAGCAGTCCTCGCCTGAAACTTGCTTGTTAGCCAGAGATGCCCTCAGGGCCTGGATCTCGCCCATGCCTAAATTCCTTTGGGGGTTCCCCAGATCTCACCTCTGAAGTCTCTTCTGAACCTGGTTCCTCCGCTCCACCTCTGAGATGTCAGTGACATCCGTCAGCTCGCGGGCAGGTGGCAGACTCACAGCTCTCCCTGACAGTGATCTTTTCCCTGTGGCTCCTCCTCCGCATCGCTGATGGGCGCAGAGTTGGGAAGCGCAGAGCAGCTTTGTCCCTGATGCCCTTCTCCCTGGTCCATGGTAGCCATTGCTAATGAATCATGGCTGTCTAACTGCTCAGCCCACACATGGGGGACCACCCAGTCTTTGCTAACATTTTCCTTCAATCATAGCCAATCAGTTGGAACTGGCATTTGACATAAAGCCAACTTACCATCTTTGTGCTTGTGTCATCGTCTTCCTAAAATCTAAATGCCATTGTGTCTCTTCCCTGATGGGAGACTTCTTCTGTCTCCCTGGTACCTTCACGATGGATTGGGACTCCTTGGCAGGGTGCACAGGGCCTTTGCGGTGTCACCTCTACCTGACTGCAGCTTCATCTTCTCACCTCCCTCCGTCAACTTCCCCTGGCCCTATCCACAGGCCCCCAGAATCTTCTTGCTCTCCCAAGTACAGTTAGTTTTTGTGTGACTCCTGGCCTTGCATAGGGCATTCTTCTTTTCCAGATTTTCCTCTTCCCTCTCTCCATTCTGCAAACCCTCACTTGTTTTTCAAACCCTTAATATTCCTCTTCTGTTGTGTTTCCATGATTCTGCTCAGCAAGGCAGTGCCCCTTCTTCTGCTTTCACCTCTATTAAAGCTTTTGTTATTGTAATATGTCATGTCATATACATGATATACTATGTTGAGGTTATGATAATAATTATAGGTATTATAATTATGGTCAGACATTTGATTGTTCACTCGACACGTTTGTTGACTGCCTCCTAGGTGTTGTGTTAGTAATAGGTAAATTAATAGACAGTATAGATGTGTAATGAGATCGATTGACTGAATGAATACATGACATTTCCTTGCTATTTGAAGCTGCCTTTTGCCCCTGTGTCTCCAGGGTAGCTGCGTCTAAAGCTGGAAGGTGGTAAGCAGGACTTAAACCCTTCCCCAAGTTGTTTAGAAACTTGTGAAAATAAGTATTTTTAAAACTTATTTTTACAACTATCAACCCAGATAAATAATTTTTCATGAATGTATATGTGATTACGTGGCTTTAGTCATGTCTTTTTCCCTTGCCTTTCCCTCCCCACCCCATCCTGTGCATAGGCACCTCTGGCGTCACCAGTCACTCCAGTTCACTGGAGACTGTCCCCGTTTTACAGTGAAAACCCCTCAGTCCCAGGCAAACCAGGATGCTTGGTCACCCTCCTTCTCTGTGCCCCTGTGTTCATTCCTTGAGTAATTAATTAAAAAAATTGAATGTGTACTCTTCCATATTTTTCTCTATATTAATAAGTATGGGTTCTATAATTGTCATTGTTTTATAAAGTGAGGTTATATTCTATAAATGTCATATCATATCATATATTATAACACCTCCTCATCCTGACCTGCCTGTGGAGAAAGCCAAGACAACTGGTTTAGCTCTGGTTCCTTCCCTTTCTGGTTGCATAATGCTCTATGTTGTGAATATTCCTTAATATTTTGACTGTTCACTTACTGATGGCCATTTTTTTTGTTTCCAGTTTTTCCACTTTGAACAATGATGACACACACGCATAGCTTCGTGTATTGGTGCTTTTATTTCTATGAGACACATTTTCAAGGGTGGAATTGCTGATCTTAATAGCAAATGTAACTCCAATTTTTATAATTATTGCTAAATTGCTTTCCTAAACAGCTAGAACCCATCCCATTTCTGCGTCACGTGGAAGACCACCCGTTCCATTGCCTCCCCTCTGGCATCCATCCTGAGTATGAGAATTCTTACTGATTTGTTCCTCTGATGGCTATAAAATGGCATCTTGTCGTTACTTTAATTTGCATTTCCCGGTCTAGTAATGAATTTGAGCATTTAAAACAATGCATTTGGCCATTTAGATGTGCTTTTAAGAGATTTGTCTATTTGTGTCTTTTACCTACTTTTCTATTGGATCGTTTGACTTATTCTTGACAATTTTAAGAGGATTTTGTATGTTATAGATATCAACTCGTTTAAATCTGGTACAGACATTTTTTACAGCTCTGACATTTGCCTGTGATTTTATTTATTGGATCTTTTGCCATACAAATACTCTTGATTTTTATATATTTAAATATACCTGTCCTTTCTCATCTAGCCTCTGAATTCCTAGTCTTGGTTAGGAAGTTTCCTCAACTCATAGATTATATATGAAGTATCTTCTGTTACTCAAAATATTTTTTGTTTTATTTTTTGCATTGAAATCCACCATTTTTATCTTGTGTAGTTTGACCCATGGCTGCATCTTCTCTGGTCTCTGATCTGGTTGATCCAAGTGGTGTTAGACCTACCCCACTCACTGGGAGCCGCATCATTGTGAGATGTCCTCCCAGGTGTCCTGAGCCCCAGGTGAGTCTCTGTGCCCGAGCTGCCTCCCTCAGTTGCCCATCCCCACACACCTTCCATTCAGCCTCAAACCCAAAGGCTAATATCCATCCAGCTCACTCAACGGTGCAAATAACTCTCCTTCAGTTGTTAGATCACCTTCATGCCAACATGACCACAGTATTTTAGGAATACAAACTGAGGTGTAATATTGACTTTTGGCTTTTGGGCACTTAGCTTCTATCTCCCCCCAACCCGCCCTTTTAAAACAGTATCCTGATTTTCCACTGGGAAATGGCTCCTTTAGCTGCTCTCAGTCACATGCTTCCTCGTGCAGTTGTCTCCATCCCCAGAGCCCAGGGTGGAACAAGGGGCACATTCCTAAGCACATTTTGTTACTCTGGCCATTAGGATGGCTCAAGGAAGGACCCCAATCACAGCCAGTGAGATACGAGAGGATATCGTGCCAGGGATTCTAGGAAAGAGAGGTTTTTACCTTCTCTATTCTCTGCTGTCAAACACAGAGTATGATACAGTACTGGGATGTGCTTGCAGCTACCCTGGCACCCACCAGCCTGGTCACAGAGCCAAAGAAGAGGAGCCAGGAAATGCACGGTGAGAAACTAGGTCCTGATCCCATTGTCTGAGTGCTGGATCAAGCTGCGTAGAAGTGGATCCCTTCAACTGTTCAATTACATGGACTAGCAAATTTCCCTTATTTAAAAAACGCACTTTAGATCAGTTGTCCACCTCTTATAACTAAGAGTTTTGATACGGAAGACCTTTCTTCTCAGCTGTGGTGACTCAATGGGCTTCTTAAGGAATTCTCCATATCATGTCCCGAGTTATCATGCATGGGGGCAGGGTGTCTCCACTTGAATATAAGCCACATCCGTTGCAGGGACTGAAATAATCCAGGCATATCCGTGAACTGCCGTGAGTGTTTGCACAAGGGCCGAGTTGCATCTCAGGAGAGACGTCCTCCTGAGGGATGAGGAAGCTGTGCATCCAAGCTTGGCCTAGGTAGGGTGGGGGCGATCCTGGCAATGGCATGGGGTTGTCCCTAGTTCCCCATGTTGGAGTCTTCAGACAGAGGGAACTGTGTGTGCAGACAGGAAGAATTCCTCACTACAAATTCTGTAAGACCCCACAGTGTGTTTGGTACCCCCTATAGCCCATGACACAGTCATGGTGACCAATCCTGACACTTCCAAGGTTTGAGAACACTAGAGTGCTCGAAGGGACAAGGGGAAGTAGCCGCAGAGGAGATGGGAGATTGCGGGGGCCACACTGTCTTTCGGGAATCAGGAGTGCTCAGTGGGCAGGTGGGCCTGGCTGGAACAGCAGAACTCAACAAAACTGGCTGTGCTTCCCACAGACACAGCATCACCCAGCAGACCCAAGGCTGTCTGGCAGTGGGAGGCTGGAGTGGACAGGAGGAAAAAGCAGGGGATGCCATACGAAAGCAGGCTGGATTTCTCCCTTGAGCACATGAGATACCTCCTCCTGCAGACCCCACGAAAAACTCTGGCCGGGGACGGGGTGGTGAATGTGGAGGGACCTGAAGTCTTGCATTGGTAGATGAGAACAAGACCTTGCAAAATAAGTTAGTGCCATAAATGACCTATGATAGCAGGTCAAACCACGCTGGGATTCTGTTCTCCTAACTGCTGGGGGCACCATGCCTGTTTCTCTCTTGGCTTGCCTTCCCCAGCCACATTCTCCTTCTAAAACCCTCCCCTCCACATAAGAACCTCTCCCCCAGCGTCTGCTAGGCAAAGTCAAGCCTGCCCTTTCTACTCCCGTCGCATCTTTTGAGTGCTCGTGTTCTAAATGCTTTCCATGCTTACTGTAAGTTGCTGACATGTGTCTCCTCCACTATACTCTGAACAATTTGTGCTGATATTGTATTTTCTCTGAACTGAGCACCATATAAATGTTTGTTGAATTACCAACTGGATTAAAAAATATATGTGTATGAAAAATTCTCTAGGTCTGTTTTTGAGGTAGAAAATATTGAGAGCCAGTTCTGGTTGAACCACCACCCCATTTCATTTGTAGGATTTTTGCGGGTCCAATGCTGAACATTTCTTGTTTCTGCTTCACCAGAAAATCGCAGTCTCTCTTGTTATTTTTCTAGACAAGAGGGGATGTGGCTAGCAATTGAGGGCATCTGACTAAGTTTTTTGATTTAGTGACCTTAATCTTCAATGCCAGAATTAATCTTTCTTTTGTGAGGACCATTTAGCTGAGAAAGAGTTAATACTCACACGACTTTGAGAACAAATTGCCTCATTCAGGAAGAAAAAAAACATTCTCCTAGAAAATTGGATGTCACTGGATTATTCCCCTTCAGATCCATGGATTAGTGTGTGTGGGGAGGGCATCCAAGTGGGAAAAATGCAATATCAATGCATTTGAGGGCAGCGTCGCCCTTTCACACCACCTCAATTACGGATCTCTTCATCACGAGCGTCAGGTGATGCGTGTCTTGCTGTCTGCTGCACCTAAGCCTACTACGGAATGTTTTTTATTAAATATTTGAGAGCTCTTTAGAATTAGGATACACTTGCCTCAGCATTGACTGAATCAGCTCTCTCACTTTTCTCTTTCACCCGAACACTGGCAATTCAAGATTTCTTTAAGATGAGGAAGACCTTAAAATATTATCCCTTACTTTACGGCCTTATCGTACGTAAAAAGTAAATTTTATGTGGTGAAGATAAATGAGCTTGTAAACTATATAAACATGTACTTTTCCTTTAAAAAAAGATTCACAATTTATGATGTGCATTGAAAAAGATAAATATTAGGCTTAGCGAGCCAAAGTGCAGTTACTGAATATTAAAAGAAAAAGGACCTTTGAGGTATGAGTGCTCATTTCCCCTTGATCATTTAAATACCCCTGGATGCCTTGTAGAGAACTTCTAAATGCATTCTTCATTACTAATGACATTTTCATGAAAGCGGATATTTTTTATTTAACAGTCCATCTCTCTCTCCTGCATACTCTCCATCTTCCATCACAAAAGGCTGAGGACAAGTGTAAGTTTTCACAAAGTGACTAATAAAATAACAGGCCTGGTGGTTATTTCAAGACCTTGGATTTTTCTCTGAAGAGTATTCATCCAGAAGTCCTCAGAACACTGGCCAGAGGAAATGTCTGCTGGGAAGGAAATAGATGTGGGGGGACATTAACCCCTCCAGGAGAAGCCATAGCTATGGGGCTTTGGGCTCCTGAACATTTCAATCAGAGTAAGGGGCTTGGTGTCATCTCAGTGTTTGAAAGCCACAACCAGGTGGCAGGTATGACCCTGTGATGCCAGGCAACTTCTGGTCTGGAGACTTATGATGATGCAAGAACAAAATGGGGCTTCTCTATGGGGGCGGTGAAGGAGGGGCTCAGAGAACAAAGAAGAGGGCTCTGGCCAACATTGTGCTCTTGGATGCTCCCGAGGGCTGGGCAGGAAATGTGTCACTGGTTTTCTAAATAAAATGATTTTTCCAAAGATGCCTTTAACGTGCCAGCTATTTGCATGTCCACACGTGAGTGGTTTCTCAGGTGCAGCGTCCTCTGAATCAGGGTTTCTCTGGTAAAACGCTTCAGTGGCCGTTGGACGTTGGCACCAGGAATGCTGCCAGCCCGGAGCTAGCGGCCGCCCCAATTTCACAGCAGGCACACTGCCCGGTGGAGGGAAGGATCAGACATAAATCTCACCAGTGAGATGAGAAGAAAGTGAAAATAAAGAGTGAGGAATCAAAAGGAGGTTGCAGAATGCATGGCAGATGTTGTTAGGTTTGTCTCGCAAAGCCCGTGTGCCAAACACATGACTGATGACATTAGCGAGAGAGGTTAATCGTTCTGGACCGGGCTGCTTGGGCTTTTCCAAAGTAAGCACAGAACAAATGCTAAGGCTGCAGCAGGAATGGCCAAAGGAGGCAAGTGGGCTTTTCAGAAGAACTAGCATGGCGTTTGCTTACATAACATCAATGGTTGGGGCAAGTGGAACGTAAAAAGCAGTCAGTGGTCAGTTGGGGAGAGAAAGGTCCTTTGCTTGCTGACTCCCTTGAAGGTGGCAGGTTTTGAGTGACAAGCAGGTTACTATGAATTCTGCAGGAGGCAACGATGTGCCTAGTTTACCTCATGAATATTTTGGCCTTAATTTATGCTGTGAGCAGTGGCTGAGCCCAGGTCCATTACGTGCCCACTGAAGATGATTTATGTGCGTTTCATGTACTTGGACTTTAATTATTCACATGATTATCAATAAAAAATAAGAGCAGAACAGTGTTGAATGCGAACAGGTTGGCAGGGGCAAAGTGCCAATGGTAGAGACTAAATTTAGGTAAGGAGGGGGGAACACCGCCTTTTTCTCCACATCAGGTACGAGAACAAATTCATAAGCAGAATTTACACTTTTCCTCTCTTTTTCACAAACACACAAACTGCCAACCTGTTAATCAACTCCCTGACGGCAGACAAATGTCTCTGGGAAACATGTGCCAAATATCAAGTGTTATTGGCTGAAACTCAATAGGATGAAATGAGTTGACGCTGCCACCCTGCCCGGTGCGATGCAGTTGCTGATCAGTGTGGGTAATCGGGCCTCCCCCTGAAGAGGAGCATGCTGAGCAGGGGTCACCGGGAGCTACGGCGCATCTCACTCACTGTCTAACTGTCTCATCAATGGAGTTTCCTTCCAACAAGCTGCCATGGTGTCTGACTATACGGGCCCCTCCCATTTCTTCCTGCGAGTGTTCCTTTGAAGGGTAAGACTGTCTCGTTTGGTACCCCTGACACTGGACATGGTGTGGACCTCACAGTTGAGTTGTAAGAACGCACAGCCTGGGAGGGGGCGCAGGATGGCTCTCCCCAGCTGGGAGGGAAAGGGGGCACGACTATGCCAGCAGCTCCGGTGGAGGGGCTGTCCCCAGAGGCAGTATCCGTGTGAGCTCCTCTTGTCCTTCTCTATCTGAGCAACTGCCCAAGGACCAGCAGGAAGAGGAAAAGAGTTTTTTTCAAGAGTCCAGCCCTAGGAAAAGTTGAACGACTCTGAGGATAAGGTTGGTGATACTCAATGGTGTTTCCTTTGAGACTCAGACACTGGCTGCAACCACACATCTGACGGGGGTGTGGGGGTGTGGGGGGACTTTAGGGTCACTGCCACTGGTTCAGGATGGGGCCGCGGACGCCTGCCCGTGCCGGCTGCCTGCGGGATTCGGTGGGTTATGGAGCCCGGTGTGCCCACCACCTGCCGCCTTGTTGGTGTTAGATTCCACATTTGAGGGAGCGGGTTTTCCTTAGCTCCAAGATTTAATGGCAATTCTCATTACGGTTCTCCAACTACTAGCCAACTCCTGCCATGGCAAGACTTCTTTTCCTCTTTTCTTTTTTTTGGCCGGTATTTTGGAGATAGAATAAATTTTCCGTTAGCAAGGGGAAAGTCTGAAAATAACTGACAGTGGATTTTTCCGGAGTAGAAACCCAACGAAGTTATGGTAAAACTACACTGACACCTTGGGACCAGCCAGCGCCAGGACTCCAGGAAGCTGGCTCACCAGGGGAGGCAGGTTTGGGAAAAAGAAATGACAGGGACTGGGAAGGGGCCGGGACACCCTGCGGTGGGAGAGCAGCTTCCCTTCTGCGCAAAACCCAGGCCCACTGGGAACAGGCCCTGAAGTAGTGATGTGGTTTCTTAATCAACACTTTCCCAATTAGTCAACACTCAGCAAATTAAGGAGACATTGCAAGAGGAGGGGGGCGGGCTGAGCCTCCCAGTGCTCGTCTGGTGACCCGTCTTCGCCTAGCAAAGGGCAGGAGCCTGTTGTAATTCGAGCCGTTTTCCAGAACCCGGGTTGGGGTCCCTTTGGCGGTTTTCCCCGGCTGCTTTGTAAGCCATGTGATCCACCCCAGCTCTTCTTGTGCATCCCTTTGGGAACGGTTGGAACAGGATGATAGCCGTTCACCTGGGTCCCACCGAGCCAAGTGGTTGATTGGGAGCTCAGATGTCTGCCCAGGTTTGAAATTCTAGCTGGAAGCCCTTGGGTTTGTCAGACTATCAGGAAATATTCCAAGGCAAGACTTCAAAGTGAAATTCTCTGGACTTTCTTCTTGACGGTGGGCCAGAGGTGTGGCCAGAACAGCCAGCTGTGCCTTGAGAGTCCAGGATTTCCTCTGTCAGACCTGACGCTTAGTTCAAACACAAAGGAGAGTGAGAGGGCAGTACTGAGGTGTTTATATAAAAATACCTTTCCAGACTGTTGTTTTACGTTTGTATAATTGTACGGTAATTGTTTCCACTGTGGAAAGCATTTTCATTGCTTGTTTGATACTCAGAGTAACCTCGTGATGTAAGCGATACAGGTATTTTGGGCTCCAGTTCACAGGTGAGCAAATTGAGACGGGATAATTACTCCATCTTCTCAAGCGCGAATAGCTTAAAAATGTGGAACTATAAATGAGGTGGGTTTTTTGCCTTAAATCCTGGTGTTTCCTCCTTTTTTATGCTACTTCAACATAAATTTTATAGTAAATTGACAAACAAGGGTCACTGGATGTAAGTATACATTTCACTATCTTATTTTTTTTAAAAACCGTTTTGAAAATGCCTTCTTAGTTCTTCAAACCAAGATACTCTGCAAGAGATTGTTTGGTCTTATCTCCTCCCTCCCCCAAGGGTTAGGCAGGGCCTTTAAATCATTCAAGACAGCTAAGAAAATATCCCATTTTTAAATACCCCAAGAGAAAGAGATTCTTCAACCCTCGTGGGTAATTTTCCTGATGTTTAACATTTCTCAGTGTCAGGAAATTCTTTCTTCTCTCCTAAATCCCTGATGCTGTAGCTTGAACCCTCTTCCTCCTGGCTGGTCTTCAGTGGAGATGCTGAACAGCTGGCTGTGTTCCTTGACTTAAGAGATCGGTCCAAAGAGGAGGAGAAGGCAGTTAAATCG